ATCATAAGTAATTTAGAGATAATGCTTTACTATATATTACCAACATTCTTGATTCTATTCTTCTGGTTTCTATTGAAATTTGCGATTGCTCTTCGCTTTTCATAGATCTATAACATACTTAGAAAATGGATTCCAAAAATCCAAGTGAACTAGCGATGTTTATCTATTTGAATAGTAAATAATCTTTAATTGTTTTTTACAAACTGTTTTTGTTCTTTGATGAGCAGTTAAAACAAAACTTATTATATTGATAAAGAATTCAATAATCGAGCAAACTTACTTGTTCAGATTATCTGCAGCATATGAATTAATATTCCAATGTGTCGATGTATTTTGGATAGCATCGGACAAATATTAAAATTCACATAGGCTAAAATAAGACGAATGATGATCTAGCAAAGGCTACATTTATAAAAAGGTTACGAAAGTTTGATTAAGATGCCATGAATAATAATCAATGAGTTCAAAACACATTGATTCTTTCTCGAGGAAAAAGAACATCATAAAATAAAATTTTTAAAACTGCTGCTACTTTTAATATTTACATTCTAATACATATCAGACACAGAACTGTTAATATTTGACAAGAATTTAAAACAATACTACAGAAAAACATGGATAAAAGAAGTACATAACTTAATATAATTTGAATGCGAAGTAAATTAACTCATTCATTTACCCCAATGAATGAATGTAAAACTGTGACTTCAGTGCTTCGATGCATAATACTTCATCATACTTCGAAGTATTGTAGTTGTAATTTTTTCCCTTGAGAACTAAGCATTCAACAAGTGACGTGAATCTTGAATGAGTTTCGCGACAACAGACTAGATTTTCAAAAATAATAGCCGAAGATACGAATAAATCAGTTTCCTATAGTTTTCGAACTTTATCAAGTTTAGTTTAGTGCGATTCTATATATATTGATTGATGTTATAAACAATCAGAGTTATTTATGTATTTGGAAGATTTCTACTTTCTTCGTTCTATAAGTTCATCCAAATTTAGTTGTATTATAAAATCTATTGAAAGTATTGATTAAAAATAGATTGCTATATATTTCAAATAAGTTATCATAATGAAGTCCATTGCGAAAACAATGCTTATTTTAAAACTATGAATAACTATAAAGTACAAGTTCAATATACTTATTATTGATTTAGTATCAATGAGATTCTTTAAAATCTTTAACAAAAATTATTATTATTTCTTTAATACAAATGATGTTTTGATGGTGTTTAGTTTTTATTATTAGATTTTGTAAATAGTAAGATTCTGTTATAGAATATTATTATTAATAAACAAAACGAACAATCAAAAAAAAAACTTAAGCACTAGGGGCAACATTCAAACTGTGTTGTAACAAGATGCCATTAAGGACTTGTGGTAATTCATCGACTAATTCTTCACCAGTGATTTTTTGTCGAACAATTTTAACAAGTAAATCATAAAGTCCATTCATTTCACCGGATTGTAATTGGTTTGAAAATAATAATTTGGCAAATTCAATGCCTTGTAGTTCTAAACTTTCTAATGATTCTTGTTGCTCAGGTGTTAACTTTTCATCAGCAAATTTAACTGCTTTTTGTATTGCAGTAATAAAATCAATCTTTGAATAAGCTTGAAAAGCTTGCAATTCTTTTAAACCTCTTACAAGAAATGCATGACGTGTCATGCCAACTAAAGCTGCAGCATCGTCGATACCATTGCGAATATTTGGTGGAAGAACATTAACTACTTGGTTGATAAGAACCTGTGAGATACAAACAAAATTATGTAATGAAAACTCATTAGTTTATATGCATTATAACATACTTGTTGGAGAAAGTTTCTCGACTAAAATAGTAATAACAAAAAACAATTATTATTATAATGATTATTATAGTAGAAGTACATTTTATTAATGTTGTTAAAGTAGTTTTGTTTTTTGTCTTTTAATAAATAATATCGATTTAAAAAACTCGTCTAAATCAATAGAACTAACGTGTTCGATATACTTGTACTATTGTTTCTAAAATTCTGCTTGTTATTTTTTACAATTATCAATCAAATCTTATGTGTGATGCTTTGATAATATATAGAAAAGTGTCATTCTTCTCAAAATACTCTCGTTAATTCGAATTGAAATTTTATTTTATGCATATGAATCTTTTGTTCTGATCATTTTTGTATAAGTAGAAGGATAATAAAAATTATTTAAAAAAGAAAGCAAACAAAGATAGCTCTGAATAAAATTTTCATATACTAAAATAAAAATATCTTCTGAATATTATGTGAAATATCTCAATTGATATCCTGCTGATGTTGATCTTAAATTCGAAAGGAAACAGATTATTCTATAAAAATTGAGTATAACTTCAATTAATTCTATCGTTTTTCAATACGTTGAATACTACGTTTAAAGCTAAAAACTGTTGATACTGTAAGAATTTATCTAGTAAAAACTAACACATTACTATAGATTAGCTTAGAATAGAAAAGTAGAATTATTTTAATTTTGTTTTTTAACAATAGAACGAACCTGTACACGTGCAGTATCATCGTAAAGAATCGAATTTGTTAACACTGATGGATATTCGGCAGTGAAACCAACGGTAAAGAGTGCAAAGAGGGTAGTGATGATGATTGTTGATGATTGCATGGTTATAATGTGCTGAGGATTATTACATAGAATTGCATTTGTGATGATATTTATAAGAATAGTATTCAAAAGACATAATTTCAAGATGATGAGAAACTCACCAAATGTGATTAGTACTTATTTTAATAATAGTTTATTTTCAAGGTCATATTCTATTGATATTTTTCATCAAGTATTTGCTGCATTCTGAAAGGTACAATTCAAAGCTATCGATCGTCCACTGTTATTATGAGAAAAAATGTCATACGTTTATCTTTATTTACTTGAATAGATATTAACGCCCACTAAAATGGCAATAAATCTAAAGAATGAGAACAACAATCAGTTATTTATTTATGTCTATGCGATATTGCTCAAATATCGAAAATATCAAATCTTTATGCGACTTGAAATTGAAGTATTGACTCATCATTATTATATGAGTGATTTTCTACTACATAAACGACTAAAAGATCATTAGAGTTTATTTATAAAACACAATAAATAAATAAAAAAGTTTCACTTTCTGTTGTCGTCTTCAACCAGAAGTAATCAGTTTCTCTTCTCTTTTTTATACTCTTTAAAAAGAATGTAATTCAACAAACTGGAAACACATCACAACCGAAACTATCGATTGCATATTATATGTAGGAGTTTCATGAATGAAAATAATTTTTTTGTTAAATCTAATATTTTTCGAAGAAAAATTGATTTTTTCCTTACTAATTTTCATCATTGATTAGAAATAGCAAAATTAACTTGACCAAATATATAAATACACTAAATAAATAAATAGATGAACGATGAACAATGTTGTCACAATTTATCATTAGTCATAATTGTGATTAGTCAAAATGATTTTTAAAAAAAGAATTTCTTATCTTACACTGTCACAAATACTCTATCGTGTACTTTAATACCTACATCTCCTGCTTAAAAAATGAATATTTTTTCTTCAAAATTTAACAAAAATATGAAAGGTTGGAAGACCACGGTCTGTGCCTATTTTAGATAGATTTAATGATTCAGGTGAGTATATGATAACAATCTCAAGAAAGAGAATTCATTGATATATTTCTCGAAGCATACGTGACGAAACAAATTTAATGAAAAAGCTTTAGAATTTGAATCTCATCTATAAAAAGTGTAACAAACGGTTCTTAACTAGTTGTATAATTTTTTTCCTTAAATTTGTTGCACAATCTATTTGTTATCGCACTTCCTATTGTCATAGATTTATATTTTTCTTCATAGAACTTATCAGAATAAAAAAAGAGATGTAGAAGGAAATCGTAGCTTAAATGCTATTGAAATATAAATTAGACTCTAGAATACTCATATTTTGTCGTTGTATATTATATCGACTAATACATAATAGAATAAAGAGCACTCGTTTAATAATAACATACATAATGCAAGTTCATTAAAATTACCTTTTTAGTTCCTAGAAAGTAGATTTTCTTACTCTCTCTCATGCATACAAAGCTTTATTTTCTTTTAGAATGAATCTTATTACGCAGAAAAATAAATATTGAATCACTTATATCTTTCAACGATAATTTCTATTTTCACTGAATTCTTTTATCTCTTCACGATGTTTTTCAATGCTCCTAATATTACCGAAAGAATTCATAAATGAAAATGAGTCTAGATCAAATATGATCCATTCCATACATAACATTTTATTTTAATGAATCTGTTGTCACATCGAAAACAGATACCACCAGAAGAAGGTTTCATTGGAATGAATTTTTATCTAAAAGACTTGTAGTAGCAATATAGGCTTCAGTTTTTTTTGTCGAACGTTCAATAGGTTGGTTCAGATGTATCAGTAGAAGAGCGTGGGTGTGACTGTTTTCCTCTCCATACTGACAATCACATCCGACTTGGTAACCAACTGAGTTGGGAGCCTACTGATTCGGTAATAAATAAAGAAATAATAATAAAATATTATGCATAGAACAGATTATGTTCGATTCAGAGTTGTTTTCGCTTATGAATTAATTCGGTGATGCTGAAATCAATCAAAAATATCGTGGACGAAAATAGGTTCGTTCTTTTCAACTACGCATATCGCCCATAGTGGCTTTTCCCCATTCCCATATTTACACACATCGTTAGAAAAAAACATGAATAGTTATAAGTCAGGTTTTTTCTTTTCTTTGTGATGTTTATACTGTACCTAGTCGGCTCATAGTCATTGTGTGACATGTTTCTTAAGATTTTTCCTTTTATCTATAATAAACTCTGAGTCATGTGTGTTTCTTCACAACATACGTCACCGAAAAGTACTACAAATGATAATATAAATATGCAAATCTATTAATGAAACAACAAAACAAAATCTACTAATAAATTGAAAATAACTTCAATTGAAAACATGGTCGATTCATTAGCATCTTTCTTTTGTCCAATTATTCGTGAACTCATAATAGATCCAGCCATTGATCCTGATGGTAACAGTTATGAAAAGAATGTAATTGAAGATTGCATTCGTCGAAGTGATACATCATCAATAACTCGTACTCCTCTTTCTATCGATGATCTACGATCAAATCAAGCTCTTAAAATGGCTATTGATGAATATCGTCAGTCAGTTAAATTAGATATTAAATCAAGTCCTATTCTAACAAAAGTACATTCATCTGAAATAAAAGTATCTGCAAGTCATACAAATGATTTTGTTCACATCTCAATTCAACCTCCAAAAGATGAAATTCGTTCTTCATGTGATATTTGTTGTGTAGTTGATACTTCAGGTTCAATGCAAGCTGCAGCTGAAATTCAAAATGATAAAAATGAACAGTATGGTTTATCACAGTTAGATTTGGTTAAACATGCTCTAAAGACAATCATAAGTTCTCTTCAAGGTCAAGATCGACTATCACTTGTATCATACTCAGATAACGCTAATATCTTGCTTCATTTAACAAAAATGGATGATGAAGGAAAATCAAAAGCTTTATCAGCAATTGAACACTTATCGGTTAGTAGTCCATATCAGAGTACATAGAAGCTACCATACAAATATTGATTTAAAGAGCTTACTAATTTTTCGACAAATGTAAAATGCAACACTATTGAATCATCTCATATTCATCATAGGAGAGTTTAACTTGAATTGAAATTTCATAAAATTTATTGAGATTAATCAGTTTTCTTTTTCTTTAACTTTTTCTGAATTACAGTTTCCATGATATACAGATGATTGCTTATACTTATATTGATGATATTGTATGTTCAAGTATTTTTCAATTTATTTAAAACTTTTATCTAGATGGGTGGTTTAACAAACTTATGGGATGGTCTTCGAACTGGTCTTGAAGTTCTATCAAAAGAACAACGTTCTATTGGAAGTATTTCAGCTTTGTTTCTCTTGACTGATGGTTGTCCGAACATAGAACCACGAGGCGGTCATTTGAAATCACTAAGAAAACTTAAGACAGAAATTAAATTTACATGTACTGTCAATACTTTTGGTTTTGGATACAACTTGGATAGCAAACTTCTCGAAGATATTTCTATATTGGGAAATTGTGGCTCATATGCATTTATTCCTGATGGATCATTTGTCGGAACAATATTTGTCAATGCTATTTCGACACTGTTAACAACAGCAGCAAACAATGTACAGGTAAAAATCATAATCGAAGCTATAATTACAGTTATCTCAGCAAATAAATGCTCATATGAAACATCAGCGGTAAACTAGAACTTGAATTGTGACAGAGATCAAAAGAAAATTTTTCATACGTAATATACACATTACATATGTCCCAGGTAAAATTAAACTTAGACAAAATTAGGTTTTAATCAAATGCATAAAACTAACAAATAATTTTCTTTTATTTAAAAGTAAACTTTAATTTCTGATTGTATGAAGAAAACATTGCATATTTCTGCTTTTTTTTTGTACTAGATTGAATATTCATTTTCACTTATTCATACTCTAATACGTGCACCAATGACTTTTCTGAGTCGATATGGAAAATAATTTTCGAAAATATTTTTAAGAAAAAGCGAATTAATATATAAAATTTCTGAAATATTCAATTCCAAGAAAATGCAACCATTATTCTACCAGAGGAGATAAATAAGCCAAAAACAAGTCCTTGCTGTTTGTGGATTGGATAATAACTCAAGAAAAATTAACAGTACAATATATTTATGTATATCATATCACATATGAACTACGCTTAAATTCAAAGACAGATAAACATCGATTAAAAAGTTCTACTCAAAAAGTATAAGCTTAACGATCCTTTCATTCTTTTTTTTCTTGAACATAACATCATATAAATATATAAAACCAGTTCTTTATTTCTATCTTTTTTTGATTTTTTTTTAAATTTTTAAATCTTTTAAAAATTCTATTTAATTTTGCATAAAATCTCAATTTCCTCTGGTACATATATAAGCATACAAAAAGCCTCTTCAGATTACACGATTTTATGAAATAGATAAACTGATTTCGAAAATTTCACATTAAATTTGATTTTAAAAGATTGAGATAGATTTGTAAAATAACAAGGACTACTATTATGATCGAATTGTTCATACTATTTTTGAGTTTACATATTCTCTTACAAGAAACGGCAAATATTATATTTATCCTTCTATTATAGTTATTCGTTCATAATCAACATCTCCAATCTACGATTTACACACGTTGGTATTCAATGAATAGCAGTATTCAAGGCACTTGCTTTCATTTGGGCTCAATCACATACGGTCAAACTAAAGATTTATTGATTCCAATTTCTTTTAGAATTATCCGTAAATATCAATTCACGCTGACTTATACCAATGTAAAAAACATACAAAAATCTGTCACATTCGATTTGACAAATAATATTCAACAAGCTGATCTTGATGTCATAATTCGACATAAACTTCGACTAGAATTTGTTCATCATGTACGAATAGCATTAGAAAAAATGTGTGAAACAAAAATAAGATTAAGAAATAAAAATGAACAACATAAAGCAGCAATGAATCAAATTCAAACATTAGAGAAGAATATGAAAAAATATGCAGATGGAAAAGATGAGTTTATCAAAGATTTATTGAAAGATTTAACAGGACAAGTACAACAAGCTATCGAAAAAGAAGAATGGTTCCATAAATGGGGCAAACATTTTTTACCTAGTTTAACACGTAAGTTTGATCAAATAAATGTATATAATAATTAATAACAGATTTTTTTGTGAGACATATATTCATAATATCATGATATTAGATTGACCATTAGTAATGATTGATTTTCTAACAGATATGAATAACAAATTACATTATCTTTTTATTTAATAAGTTAGAGTAATGTATGAAAAAATTCATTCTAATGTTTTCTTAAAGCATTACATAATATATCTCATTTAACAAGGAAAACTCGTTTAGTTTAAATATTTATTTTCTAAATAGAAGATTGGGTTCATTTGAAATTCGAAGAAAGAAAAAGAAGTATATATCTAATTGGTTTCATTTTACAGGTGCTCATCTTCTTCAATTCTGTAATAATTTCAAAGATCCAGGTGTTCAACACTATGGAAAGGGTACACTTTTCACACAAGTACGTGATGAAATGGATGAAATATTTTGCAGTTTACCTGCTCCAAAACGTTCACAAACTGGTGCTACGATAAATATGGCAGTTTTTCATGATGCTGATGGTGGATGTTTTTATGAGCACTGTACAGTACGTCTAATGAATGGAACCACTAAATTAGTAAAAGATGTCAAACCAGGTGATCAAATGGCACCACATGGTGGAATGGTTATATTTGTAGTTAAAACAATGTGTCAAAATCAAAAAGCAAAAATGGTTATAGTAAGTATTAAATAATTTCAAAGGAATAAATTATAATCATTCAGATTTCTCCTTTTTTTTTGAAAATGATAAGTTTATTTATCATTGTATTTTTTTAAAGCCGTTAGTTTTTTAAATTTTCTATTTTTTTTTGTAGGTTGAAAATGACTTGATCATTACTGCTTGGCATCCAATTCGACATCTTGGACAATGGATTATGCCTTGTTCACTTGTTTCATCACCAAATGAAATTTCTTGTGAAGCTGTATATAATTTTGTACTAGATCAAGGTCATACAGTGTTAGTCAATAATGTTGAATGTGTAACTTTAGGTCATGGATTAAAAGAAGATGTTGTTCGTCATAGTTACTATGGAAGTGAAAAAGTAATTAATGATTTACAAAGACTTGATTTGGAACAAAACAATGGAGGATTCATTGAAATTAATGGAAAAATGTTGGTGCGCAATAGAAAAACTGGTCTAGTAACTGGATTGCAATCACAGAAAATCATGATCCAATAAACGAATATAAAATGTTTTTTTTTTCACATACTGTATATAATTAAAGTAAACAAACCGACGACATTGTTTTATACGATAAAACTTTGCTAGTCAAGCATCATCATACTGATTCAGCTCTCCTATATTTGTTAAGAAATTCTCTTTCAACAGATAATTTAAGGCTAAACAATTGTCAAAGTAATTAAAGGACATGACAAATAGTGCGTAATAGTATTTAAAAAAATACTTAATTGCGTAAAAAAAATATAACAAATCAAATGAATTATCTAGCTAATTCTTTGACATAAATTCATAACAATTTGTTTTATATATCGAATGTCGCCGATAACATTCTTGTAGAATTATTTTCATCAGTTTACGATAATTAAGTGTTGTAATTTAGTGTACTAAATTAATCAAAAAGTTTATCTGATTCAAAACTCTGTAATAAAATTGAACTTGGAAATCTCAGAAAGAATAGACATCTCAATAAAAAACTGGGTTAAGAATTTTTGTCATATAGGCAATATGTTGTGGTATTCTTTAGTACAATACAACTATGTGCATCAACAATTAATTTTGTAGAAAGTAATAATGAAAAGTGAAGAAAGAAAATCTAAAAATACTATTTAAAAAAAAAAGTTAAATATTAACATGAAAAAAGACATTGACATATTTATAAAATTCATAAAAGTTTGTCTACAAGTAATTAAATTCGAACGATGTTCACCTTAAACTCTGTTACATTAGGTAGGCAACTGAAAAGTTTCTAAGAAGTACACAAAACATTCTTGATTTCATCCAAAACTTTTATTTCATCGAAAGAATTTGACAGATTTTGATATAAAAGATTTTTCTAATAAAATAGTGAAAAAAAAACTTGTAGATTTTCTAAATGTGTCAATCCTTTTTGAATTTAGTATTCAGGCTTTTAGAAAAAAAGATATATAAAATATTGTAATATTTTGCTCACAATGATTTACCCATTCGAGACTTTGTTCGTATGACGAACATTCTTTAATAAATAGTTCACACCAATTTATTCCTTGACAAAAACTTCGCTCTCCTGAAAAATACCTTAGATCTGTCATTTTAAATCATTACAAGTTTTTTTAAAACTCAATCGAGAACTTTTAGATTGGACGATTAATCTTTGCATAATTTGTTGTCATCAGTAAATAATTCGAAAAAATGATCATGACACCAACAAATAAAAGTTCGTATGATTTTCAATTTACTTTATTAAGCAAATATTGACAAGTAAAATACTAACTTCTTCTTTATAATAGCGTAGTGTTATTGATATGGTAAGCAATTCTATTATATTTTGATGTCAACATTTGATGAATAACTATCAGTAGTAAATATTTTCTTAATAACAGTGGGTGGACAATATAATATATATGATCTTCTTTTGAGTCGAGTTTCAAAATCGAACTACAATAGAAACTTGTTTAGATGTGTATTATGATTAACATGAAAGCATTTCTCGTGTGTTTGCTCATCATAGCGAGTAAGTAATAATAATACTTGAAGTTTTTATGTCTTCGATCTCCAAAAGCCAATCTTAGGCCAGATACATTCGAACCGTACCGGGTTTTTAGGATAGGTGCCCACTCTAGTGAGAAGACAGGGCTCAAATTTTAACCACTATACTATAATAGTTTTTGAGAGATATCCATCAAACAAGGCTCAAAATTAACTCACCTGGCAACTTAAAATCCTCGTGGGACCCCATTAGATAAATTTAATTTCTTTTTATTTAAAACACTATGTCAAACGACAGTGCTTGACAGAGTCGCTTTTTTTTCATTCAAATTCTTTTTTTTTTATGCGAAGAAAATGGATGACTAGCTGAATACTTCATAAAACTCAAAAACTTTCCTCTATTTAAAAAAGTGCACTTTTATATAATAATACAAAAACTTGATACTAAAAATGAGCTCTATCAGACACTGCAGCTTCACACTCTCCTTGACACAAGGAACAACGACAATTGATTTCCACGAAGGACCATAGAGAATTTTGGGACACATTATCAGAAAAACCTGAAAAAAAAACATATTTTTGAAGTAGAAGCTGATGGAAGCCATTGAAAACTTTTGGAAAAAAGGATGTGTCAAAAAATATTAAATTGTTTATGTACGATTCAGCACAAACCATCCTTCTATGCGTTTATCTTAATTTCAATAATTATGACGGAAGCAAGCTTTTCTTTTTACGAGGAGGAAGGCTTAACTAATCTGAAGTATTATCATTATTTACGAATCTTTACTGAAAAATCTGAAAAATATTATTGAATTTAATCTATGGAACATATTGCTGAAGTTCGCTATAGACCACTTATTTTTCGACAAACATAAAAAGCCATAGAGACAAAGAAAGATTAGAATATAAACCAAAAAAAAAATCTATGAATGAACTGCTGAATAGTGTTGTTCTACTACTGTAAAGTCCTTTATCAGATTCAAACAATCCGATTGGAAGTAGAATTTCATTTGATAAATTTTGTATATTATTTTGTCTCTTGAATTCAAAAACAAATATTTTATATTCGAAATTATGAATAATTCTATGTAAGTAATTTATTGATTTACTACCGAAAGAATATTTTTATCTTACTTCTTGAAAAATTATTGGTATATTTTGATAAAAAAATTAATTTATATAAATTGTTTTAGTTATTGAACGTAGCAATGGTGCATTTCAATGTTACAAGTGTAATAACTGTGGATCGACTTGGAGTCCTAGCAAGGCTGTTATGATCTTTACTGAAGGTGGAGGTAACTATTGTACGGTAAGTTATATTTAGTACAGCTTCAAAACTTGAATAATTATGTCGATTATTATTTGTAGAAACGAGTAGTAGGCACTTCAGTGACCAAGGATTACAGCGCAACATGCACTACAGGCAATGGCATGTATTGTTGTCAGAATGATTTGTGCAACTCATCCAATCCACAATATTATATTAACTTTGGTCTTCTCTTACTATTATCTATATTTGGCTTAATTATTAAACAAATTTGATTGACAGACTTACACTTATAATTGCTTTTTTTAAAATTTCTGTTAATCTTTAATAACATTCGTAAATTTTGCTTCTGTGTGCTCGAATAATAAGGACCAATGAATGTCGCTCTCGCTCGAGTAAACATTCAACGACTAGAACAATTCGTTGTCATAGAGTCGCAGAGAAATATTTTCAGAACTACTAAGTTTCAAAAATGAGACATTTTCATCTACTATATTTATCAAATAAAATCCCATCATTTCACTAATGAGAATAACATATCTCTCAAATCAACATAAGAAGTTTCTATCAATACAAAAAAATTAGTACAATGAGGATTAAAAATGGTCATTCGGCATGAAAGGTCTATAATAAATACAAAATGTGATCCTAAATATCAAAGCAGGATGTGATACGGATACGATAATTTACAGAATCGGCAGAGTCTATGTAAAAAAACGGATATTACTTTATATCAAGTCTCTTTATTTTAGCACATCTAATTTTTATATTAAGAATTAGCACCATCAAATGTTATCTTCACCATATGTAATAGTCCTTCGAATATATAAGCAAGAACTTCATCTATCTATTAGTCATCATTAGCAATGTATGAGTCGCACATAAGTGATACGTGACAGAAAATAGATCATTGAATTTTTCTTATTTCTCAATATATTCAAAGTTATTATTGTTATTGTAGGTACATCATTTTTATTTAAGTATTTCAAATTTAATCTTTATTAATCTAGAACATTGAGACGATGATACAAACGAACAACATATATGTCATAAATGATGATCAATTGTTTATTGCAGCAATTTCAATGAGTTCTTTGAATTTAAATGTGGGATGCTTCTCTAGACCTCTGATTTCGACGCCCGAATCCATGAATTTTCGACAGAAATCCACCGAAGAGACATCTATTTCGTCGGAAAACCTCGAAAAATTATACGAACATAAAAGCAGACATCTGTTAAAGGGATCCGGTGATCAGCTCTGCTTGGTTACGATCAGTTTCGGCCATAATTGGAACAATCTGAACCACCAAATCTGATCATAGAATTTCTGCTTTCGAATTCCTACCATTTTTCGTTGTTTTCTAGTTGGAACCCACTACAGTTCATTTAAACGGGACGTAGTAGTAAATGAGAAATATTAAATTGCTGGTCGTGGATTAGTTAATGATGCGATTGATAAGATGGTGTTGTGATTTTTTAAAGGTTTAACACGATTGCCATAACGGATTTTAAATGTTTTGTACATCAATTGACTAAGTTCTTTTCTATAGATACGACCAGACAAAAGATATAAAAAGAAGGATGTGACATAAGAACAGTTAAAAAGTAATTGACAAATTATAGATATAAAGGAGAAAGTAGATGTAGTTTGAATTTTGTTTGGTAAAGCTGCCATCAAATAAGTAACACTTGATGGTAAAGTGAGAAAAACATGTACACTGACTTGAAGAAGAAGCATTCGAGCCAGTTGGTGTTCAGTACGATTATAACGTGAAGCTACTACTTGAATCGCACGTGATCGATTTGCATTTTGAATAGTCATAAGACCAAAAATCATCATAAGGCTAGGCGGAACCACAGCAAATAGAGAAACTTGTATGATTAGGTACACTTGACTGAAGATACTATTTACTTGTACAGCACAACTCAATCCTTTTTCTGGCTGTAAATTGGCTGTGACTAAGATGTAAATGAAGAAAAGTGAAAATATAACGACAATAATCGAGCTCATCCATTGTGCCACGTAAGCTCTACTAAATTTACGCATTGATGGACTTCTTGAACTGGCACAGTATCTATCAATTGAAGCGAGTACAATCAAGTAGGGAGAAAAAAATGCACTTGTAGTACTGATATAAGTGATAATTTTACAAGAGACTATTGAATTGTTTGATAGATTTATCTGATATCCATTGGCTAATAGACGATAGGTAAAAATAATACTTGAATAAAAAAGATTGGTGATAGCGAGTGCAAGAAAATATCG